ATGAGGATGGTCTACTAGGTTAGGTTACAATACTAACATAAGGAAAGAATTTAACAAACGCATATTTTGAGTATCACGAACTGTAGTCCCAACATAAACACCGAAATCTAGCCAACAACTAAGATCTAGACAACCAACACAAAACACCAACTACAAAGCTAACTAAACAACAAGACAACAAGCAAAACAAGCATAAAAGGCAAACAACAACCAAACGGTAACAACGGCTAAGAAGATACAACTACTAAGGAAGAACGAACAAGGTAGCCACAGCTCCACTAGAAGGACTCACTCTCTGACTCCTCGGATTCTTCATCTTCCTCTTCGTCGGCTCTTCCTCGGCTAGAACTGGCCTCAAGCTGGTCCAACCTCTGGTTAACTGCGGCGAACGGCGTCTTCAAAAGGCAAAGCAACTAAACCGACTACCCAAACCACGAGATAAAAACCACGGCAAACGAGAGAGAACAACTAAATGCACAACTGAGCAACAACTACCAACGAACCTGCTAACAAAACAAACAAGGGACGCAACAAGGTTCCACAACGAAAACAGTCGGCTTGCGAAATGGATGACAAAGCTTAAGAGATGAGTTACAAAAGAGGTTTTAAGCAACAAAGGTGATCGCCACTAACCAAAATTAGAGAAAACAAGGGTTTAGATTAAGGTGGTAGAATTGATAGGCTTGGACACAACGAAATTCAACACCAAAACCGTCGGTTAACAAAATAAGAGACAAGACTTAGAGATAGGTTGAGGGTTCACAAAGGTAAGACAAGAAAGAAAGATAAGGTGATAGATAAAAGATTTACCGGAAAGGGAAGCTAACTTCACACCGAGCCTAACCCTGCTCAAAACTAGTCAACGATCTACTCAAAATGAGACGGCTCAGCTAAGGAACAAGCCACAAACAAAAACTGACACCACAAGAACTTTAACTAGATCACTCGGGATCACAGAACCAGGGTTGCATCTTCAACTGATCTCTGCTGGCTTCTTCAACCAACGGAAACAAGGTACCCCCACTACTTAACTTGAGCTCGGCATCTGCTTGAACTTGATTCGTCAGTTCCGACAAGGTTACAACTGCTAGATCCAAAACACGGGTTGGATGTCCTTCTCTCCATCTCTAGGGTGAACTTGATGCAGGCTACCGACTTAACACATGCATTAGCATACAACCCGTTACTCGCTACAAGGCAACGCTTGAAAACTTCAAAGCTTCTGTTCGGGGGTAAGGTCCAAAATAGGAATGGTAACACCGGAGAAGGGTAACTAAGGGAAACAAAGGCTCACAAGAAGAGATTCGGTTCAACGGAAAAGATTAGAGTGAAGGGTTTAGGTTCAACAATTCGAGAACCATGTTGGTTAAGAAGAGAAGAATTGTGAACAAAGCTACAACTCAAGAAGTAAGGAATCAAAACAAGGTTTAAGGGAGTTGAGAAGGAGGAAGGGTTTAGATATTAAACTCAAGAACACAAAGGTTGGAAAGGAAAAGAGGATGAGAGTTTAGGTTCCAAACTTGAGGACGACATTAATTAGGTTTAGGAATAAAGTCATCAAAGTTGCAACTTAGAAAATAAGGTTGCCACCTTGCACAGAATTGTTTGAAGTGAGGGATCAAGAATGGGGTTTGACGGGATTGAAAGGATTTCCTAACGAAAGGTACAAGGTTTAAGCTCAAGGATAGAGTAGATTAGAAAGGGAATCGAGATTTTCAAGGTTGCCACTTAGGATAACGAGGTTGTCACCCTGTACAGAATCAACTTAAGAAGGAAACAAGAACGAGGCTCGAAGAGATAGGAAGGATTTCTCGGAAGAGACGTTTGGTTTGACAAGAAGAGGAGAGAAGAACGGCTTAAAGAGGGTTAAGGATTCTCGACTTCAGGCGAAAACTTCGGCTTGACGCTTCGATCACTGCACTCTTGACGAACTGGAGGTTCCTATACCTAGATTCTGACGCGGCTTAACCCTTAGACTTTACTGGATTCCTTCATAAGCTGATGTCACTGCCGCCTTGCACAAGGTGGTTCGGAAAGAAAACAAGAACAAGGTTCGGAAGAAAAGGATCACTTGGCAAAAAGGGTGATTGGGTTTGCTTATGGAAGAGAAAAGATTACCGAGGTTCAAGGGTGACTTAAGAACAAGCAAACGCTCGAAGCTAACACGCAGGAAAGGCACAAAGACGAAAGAAGGTGCAACGAAAGGTACAAGAACTTACTTCAACGGTTCCCACTTGCATCCGCCTCACTACTGAGGATCTTGCCTTGCTGAGGTCCCGACTTGGTACACAGATCTTGAATCCCACTTCCACCTAGTCCATAGTTGCTTCCACTTCGACGCTTACTTCCCGACCGGGGCCCCACACAAACAACTGGTTTCGAGTCCGCTGATGTCTTCCTCTTAACCTTGCACTCAAAGGACCGGTGACCTTTCTTGCCACAAACAAAGCACTCTATTGGTTTCCCATGACAGTCCATGCCGGGGTGGTCACCTCCACACTTCTTGCAAACGGAGCACCACTAGTACAAACTTGACAAAAAATATTAGACTATTAGCATCTGTTGTTTGAAAATTAGAGACAAAAACTCGCACGGTGACATTTTTGTAATTTTATGAACAACAATTAGCATCTGTTGTTTAAAATAACAGGAGGGAAAACCACTCCCAATTTAAAAAAAAAAAAAAATTTGTAGACAACAGACTAGAACAGTAGCCTGTGGTCTATATAATAAAATATAATAATAATAATAATAAAAAAAACAATATTTCACTGATCGACCACCGCTAGCTAAAGCGTACATTGTAAGCTTCTTTCTTGACCAACTCCGATCCTTAGCCCTTCTTCACCAACCACTGCCGATACTCTTCATCTCCAACATTTCATACGTAGCAGCCACCTCCCGCGACCTCCATCTCCATTATTTCGCTGACCACCACCGACTTTAGCCATGGGTTGAGGGGAAAGGTTTGCCAGCGACCTCTAATAGCGACTTCAGCCATAGATTGAGAAGGCAACTTTGGCGGCGCGGCGATCTCCAACAGCTAAGTGACGACGAAGGTTTAGAGGTGACCTCCAGCTGCACTGCGTCGACCTCCGCTGGCGACCTCCACCAGCGCTGCGTCGACCTCCATTTGCGACCTTCAACTGCGCGCTTCAGGTATATACTGTGCGACTTCTTCTTCTTCTTCTTTTATTATTCTTATTATTAATATTAATATTAATATTAATATTATTATTATTATTATTATTATTATTATTATTATTATTTGATATAATGTGTCCCTTATTTTTTTTTATTATTACTATGTCATATATTGCGTGCCTTATTATTATTATTATTATTATTATTATTATTATTATTATTATTATTATTATTATGTGATATAATGTGTGCCTTATTATGTAGTCTGATCTATTTCATTATTATTTTTTTTAGGTAAATATAAATTGATTAAAAACCAAATAGAAATGTAAAGTATTGATTAAAGCATTATAGATTTTAAACTGGAATAAAACTAATGCAAAGGAATAAAATAATTTTCAAATATGTAATTCCATACTGGACAAACTGACCAAATGCTTAATTATAGATTCTCAATTATATTATATAGACTAAATGCCTTATCCATCTTCATTTGTCTATATCTTATATGATATGTATTTCGGTTAAAGTTTCATAATCTTGCAGACGAGAGATATGGATCGTAGTTGGATGTATAGGAAACGCAATACACATGAATACATGCTAGGGGTTGAAAATTTTATAAAATATGCTGAAGAAAATAAAAGCATAAATGGTGAAGAATTTCTTGCGTGCCCATGTTATGATTGTAAGAATCTTAAGAAATTTCGTAGTTTTGAGTAAGTGAGGAGTCATTTAATATGTCGTGGCTTTAAGGAAGATTACAACATGTGGATATGGCATGGTGAAAGTGTACTTCCTAGTAATAGAATAGATAATGATGAAGAGAATGATGATGATAATGATGAAAAGAATGTAGACAATGAGGAAAATGAAGAGAATGATCGAATAGATGAACTCATGCGTGATGGCGTCGCGATGATAATCGCCGGGGTCGTCGTGCCCAAGGCGGTCGACGCCGCCGCCGTATTCCCCAGTTGGATCTTAATGATGACGTACATTTTGAAGGAGACGATGATGAACCCGACGGCCGAGGTCCTAATTTTGAGGAGCAGGGATTTCATACTGCATATGATATGGGCGATATCACTCAATTAGATCTCAACCAATCAACAATGGCCGGTGCATCATTCATGACCCCACAAGCGTGTGCGGACCAAACAAATTCGTATGCGGTTGGGTCGTCATCGCAAGCCCCTCCGGTGCATGACGGACGACGAATTCGAAGTGCTTCGCATATCCGGCCTAATGAGCCATTTGAACATGCAATTCAGAATTATTATGACGAAGATGCTACAATAAATACATCTCAAGTGGTGAACAATACCCAAGAACAGCAACAGTCCAAAATTCAAGTACACTACCAACGTCGTCGTCCAGCGCGTAATATCAGACGACCACCTTGTGGCACATAATCAATGTGTAAATACTTTTTCTACTACTTGTTGTAATGTATTATTGAATTTCTAATTTAATATTGCACTTATCAATATCTATATTTGATCAAATTAGTATAAGTTTTTTTTACACCTTATTTAAAAATGGCCCCCTTCAATTGGGGGCCAACTAAAAAAAAACTAAATAAAGGCCGGGCTGTCACAATTGGGTGACAATTGTGACAGTCCGGCCCTGTTGCTTGCTGTCAGTGTACAACTGACAGCCAGCGACGTGAGTATTCACGTTGCTGTCAGTTGTACACTGACAGCAAGCAAGGTGACTAGTCCGAATGACTAGTCACTTATTTTTTTTTCTTTTGAGTTAATGAATTATTTTTTTTTTGGGTGCCAATTTTTAGTATTTAAACATAACAACGAAAAACACTAATGTGAACTCATATCGTACATTAATATTACACATTAATCCCTTTGCAATCGTGGACATCGTCTAATATCGTGGTTGGCTGAACGACAAACACTACAACGCTTTCCCCTCAAATCCATTTCGTTCGGAATTCTTGTGCTCGCGCGACGACCTGGTCGACCAGCAGCAGGTCGAACTGTTGGGGGCAACGTCGTAAAAGATGGGACTGGCCAATAATTTTCAAACAATAAAGGCATGATGGTTCCTTCATAAGTTAGGAGATACTTAGCAAGAGAATATTTATCCAGAACCATAGCATCGGGGACTCTACCAACGTAATGACACGCCGCATGTGCATGAATGCATGGCAGTCCGTCCACAGACCACTGGCCACAGTTACAAACCTGTTCGTTGATGTTAATCGCCACGAAGTTCGGTCTCCCGTACCTATTTATATCACCTTCAATCTCAACCGAATAAATACCGTCAAGGTCGTCATGGCGTTTTACAATGGCGCGGTACTTGTGGCTTTCCCTTTTCAACATCTCATCAAGAATATTACGTGGCCATTGCAACCCCCCTTGTTGCATTACCATTCCAGCTGTACGCCTCTCGGCGAACATTAAAGCAGCTTTTTCGTACGTTAGCTTCACTATAGCCGAGACGGGCAGAAGACGACAACGCTTTAGGCTGTTGTTGAAAGATTCCGAGCTGTTGGTCGTCATCAATCCATGTCTAAATCCCCCATCGTGACTTAGGGCCCAAAACCGGGCAGGGATTGCCATCAAGTAATTATATGCCGCCTCATCAGTTGCCCGAATTATACTCATTACCGCCTCAAACCCCCGAACATCCATAGCACAACCAGCCTGCCAAAATAGATTTTTTAATTCCTTGTTCTTAAACTTGGTCATCAAATTTGACCACAAATGTCGGAGGCAGTATCGACGCTGGACCCGCGGCTCGGCCAGTTCAGGTACTTCCCGAAATGCATGGTCGATGCCACCATGCCTATCCGAGATAATACAAATGTGTTCCAAATCGCCAAAAACATTTTCAGCCAGCAATCTCAGGAACCAAATCCAACTATCTCCTGTTTCAGCGTCAACAATTGAGTATGCAACTGGATGTATTTCTTTGTTGGCATTTATAGCTACTGCTAATAGAAGGTGTCCTTTGTACTTTCCGTACAAATGCGTCCCATCGACCGTAAGTACGGGTAAACAGTGTTTAAACCCTTCAATTGCCGGTTTGAATGCCCAAAACACATACTTAAATCGAAACTCATTCGGGACTCCCGTTTCCGTGTACACAGTATCAACAACGGAATCTGGATTTGTTTGCTGTATGGCCATTAACGTCTGTGGCAATATGTTGTAGGACTCATCCCACTTTCCATACAGCGTCTCCAACGCGATGACCTTTGCGTACCAAGCCTTCTTGTAATCAACCCGAATACCCCATATTGCCTTGACATCTTCGATGACGTATTTAATTTTGTATCGCGGATCATCTGCAATTTTTTGCAAAATTAGTTCCGCAATCACTTTACTGGTAAGGTTGTAGTCATCTCCGCCCTCCGTATAGTCCACACGGCATCCGTGGATATTATGAAACTTTTTAACTTTCCATGCATCGGAATCTTGGATCTGCGCAGCACTAATCATCCACGCACACTGTTGGGGATATAAACAGGTAGCCTTCCAATATTTGCTCTTCTTGGTCGCCGTTTTAAACTGCGTATGTTGGTCAAGATTGTGTTGTGTCACCATATTCTTTAACTGTCGGTAGCTGTCGAACACCATTCCAACTCCAATGGACGAACTAGCAGTTTGAAAAGCATTCCCGTATGATGTATAATCATTGTACCAATCCGGATCATGTGTTGGCGGACGAGCACCCGTATCATGTATGGACGTGTTGGCAGACGATTCAACCTCTTCAACGGGCTCATAATCAGGGTCGTCATCATCATCATCGGAAGGAAACAAACATTCATCCCCACTTGTGTTTGTTTCTTCGTCTAAAATGGCATTATTCGCGTCACAAATAAGATGATCCATTGGTACTATCTGTATGTGCTCTGCTTGCGTGCTTTGTCGTGATCGACCAACACTACGCCTTCGTGTTTCACATGTTCTAATGGGCGTGCGGTCAACGCTAGTACCCCCTTGAACAATGTTCATGTTCAATGTTGAATGGAAAGGCAGTGAAAGTTTCACAAAAACCACTAGCGCCCCAAACGTTGACATAACCCCCAAAAAATATGACCATGTCTGATTATCGGTTATTGGAAATGGATAAACTACATCACCCAGAGATTGATTTGGCTGAAATTTTCCCCATAACAATATAGCACCAACATTGTCTCCAATTTGAAAACAATTCTTAATCTCGGCGACTAACTGTTCGAATGAAGATGTTGCAGAGACGAACACGGCATTTTGAGGAGCAATGTTGAAATCCACATCATCTCTATGCCCATCATATTCGGAATGACGACATATCAACACAACCACCTGGTTACCTATAGAAAATAAAATCTCATACATGATAAAATTATAATTACAATAAAAAATAATTTCATATACAGAAGTGAAATTCATGCCTGCCATTATCCTTAACGTAATTCCTGCAAAAAAAAAATACATATCAGATATAACTATGATAAAAAACGCGTTACAAACTAACAAAAATAAACTTTAAAAAATAAAAAATGCTAAAATACACTAACCTTTAATTAACTCCGGTTCCACAGTGCCAACTTTTACAGATCACTTTGTAAAAGCCACACTTCAAAAAACTCAACACACTGCGCGGTTAAAAACAATACATGAATCAACCCACATGGGTTGTCATAATGAGATAACATCTCATTATGACACCCACATGGGCTTGAGCTACCATCGAAATGACAGCCCAAAGGGGCTGTCATCTCGGCGCCAGCCCATACGGGACTGTCAGCCGGGCTGACAGCCCACATGGGCTGTCAGCCGTGAGATGACAACGCATGGGTTGTCATCTCAGGGCTAACAGCCCATGTAAATTTAATTAGGATAGAATTTAAATTTTTTTGGATGCATTACACATCTTGGACTATAAATTGTTCTCTTTGTATTCTTGAATTTCAACAAGATATTTAATCATGTTGAATTTCATGCTGTATTTTTCTAAATTTCGGAGTTGTAAATTTCTATTTTTTTATTGGAAATTTCTCAAAATATTTGAAATTTGATCACACCCTGATACAACGGTGGATAATGTTGAATGTCATGCAATTAAATCTCGCGAATGCCTATAAACCCGAGAGATGAGAGTTTCGAGCGATTCGGAAGGGAAAGGTTCTTTCCGCCATTGCTATTCTTTTGTTCGTTGGGTTTGAGGTTAGAGCAAGTGCTTGTGATTACAATCACAATCGATTGCTCTTGTTATGCACGGAACTGTTGGATTTGCGGTGAGTTTCGACGTAATTATCCTAAATTTTTAATACAACCACTTCTTAATTTTTTTTTCTATAACTCTCACTTTACATTGCTAGGTTGTTGTTACGTTGACAAAATGCACCTCAATCAAAGTTTCATTGACAACGAGTGGTAATTCTTTTGTCAGAACAGCAGCCTGACAGTTCTGCAGACATACTCCTTCAATTCAAAATCCACGAGGGACATTATTTATTCGTCGGGGACAGCAGCCTCACAATTCCGCATATATACTCCTTCAATTCAAAGCCCAAATGGGATATTATTCATTCGTGGCGTCGCCCACATGTTATAAGCTGACGGGTAATACGCTGCCACATGGGTTTACCTTTGTGAAATTTGTAACGAATATTTGTTTATTTATGCAAAATAATATTCAATGTGTAATATTAGTCTTTCAAATTAAAAGCTATGCAATTTTATATTCCAAACTATGTAATTTGTAATCATTTATTATATGATTTATATATGCCATGTAATCGACAATTTTTTTATTAACATTACGCATAAAATTTTAATTAAATACAATATCATGAAACGTGCATATACAAAATTTTATGCTTTGTTTTTTACGACTTTCTTAAAAACCACCGATTAGATGCATATATTTTGTTGCAGTTACATACTACAAACGCCCTCAAAATTCTTGTTCTGCATTGTGTCCTCAAATTAAATTTCGTAAAGTGTAGTTTAATACACAGAAATTCCAATCACAACTCTAGTCTACTCTACTCAACTTCAAAAAAAGTATAAATATGTAAATGTAGACTATCGGATACTAACACGCGCATTAGAGTCGCAAAATTTAGAAAAATATTATGTGCCCAGAACAAAGGCATTTGCGTAAAAAAACCATTAGAATAATATCCGGCCCGCCATGGACATAAACGCGTTTGGGAAATGCGTTTTTTCGAAAAACGCATTTCCCAAACGCGTTTATGACGCCGGCTAGAACGCCGGCCGGTGGCGTGCCGGCGATGAAGGAATACCATAGCCGCATTTGGGAAATGCGGCTATCGTGTAATATACGAGAGCCGCATTTGGAATGTGTAAACGACAACCGCATTTGAGAAATGCGGCTGTCGTATATTATACGACAACCGCATTTTCCAAATGCGGTTGTCCGTAGCGTATGCAACCCCTCCATCCGAGTTTGGGAAACGCGGGTTTGACCTCAACCGCGTTTCCCAAACTCGGTTTTCCCATTTTTGTCCAAAAAAATTTGACCTCCCATTATTGTCCACAAACACTTCCCAATGCCCATTTCAGTCAAAAACCCTCCATTATTCAACCACATTCAATTCATAAATGACTTCAGGCAATGTTGGGGAGCTTGCTTTAATTCTATGTGTTAGTTGGGTCGAAATTAAAGCAATGATCAAATCCTGGATCAGTGAGTAATGTATAGAACGAAGGTGCAGCAACAACTTTAAACTGACTGCCAGATCATGAGTTTTGACAATTCGATCTGTGACACAACCAGAATCTGATGTATGTATAGTATGTCATCCTTTAATTTTTCTGTGAAATCAACCAAGTAAATTCAGGACGAGCAACTAGCTAGCTAGCTAGCTAAGAAGATTATATTGCTTGAAGAAAGCATCTCAGTGGTTGGTTGGTTTTGATTGGCATTTGAATCATGATTGATGTTCAATATAAAGCAATACCTCAATTTTTTCTATATATCTATATTCATACTTAGTTGTAATATTGTACTTTGAAACTTTGACAACTTCTTAGGCAGTTTTGTATTGGGATTTGGCAATTTGTCATTGTGGCTATCATTTGCTTCTATCTAGCTAGCTTGCTAGTAGCTACCTACTTTTTTAGATCAATCGAAAGAGAGAATATCTAAGGATACCAAATACTAGCTATGCACAACTCTCTACATGGTTCTGCACCCACATAGCGTCGAGCAAAATTAGTAGAAGAGAATGAAGTAAGAGGTAGGTGTTGACTGTTGAAGAGTAAATGGTTGTTGTGGCTGTTTTTGCAGTGTTTATTCAAGACTTATGGGTGTTTTTGGATATCATTGAAATGGGTGGGTCGGGGTTGGGGTTGCGGTTCACAGGTTTTTTTAGATCTTCAGCTGCAAAATTTGATAAGTATATTCAAGTTGTTGGCTTGTATTGGGCTACTACTAGGAATCAACAATATAATCTGTAGAAGATATTTTGATTAAATAAATATATTTATTCAGGATAATGTTTATTGAACTTTATAATGAAAACGAAAATATATTATATTGATTTTGGTAGGAAATTGAAGTCTCCTTTTATTTGCTTGGAAATTGTCCGCCCCCAGTATTGAATTATTGCATCAAGTTGTAGAAAATCATATATGGGGTTCAAATATATGGTTACAAGTCCGTGTTTGGATGGCTGCCATGCATCACAAGGAAGATAAAAATCGCTTCCTTAATATATAATTGGCGGTCATAAGTTACCGTTGCTCTATAATAGAGATTTGTGTAGTGTCAATGGTTAACGTACCATTTTGATATGTATTTTGAATAATAATTAATATTTACATATCATGCAAATCAAAGAGAAAGATGTTATTTAAATGTCAAGACAAGTAATATCTTACCTATATTCAATAATTTCTTCCACAAATAAAATTTTCACAGACAGAACAAGATCCACTATGTTAAAGGACATGGGGCTGATGATAACAAAATGATATGTCTACTCTCAAAATGAGACAAATTCAATTAAGATTGGCATGAATTTTCAATCAATCTCTATTTGATTGGTTAAAAAAAAAATACATGAATCACCTAACTAAGTTGGTTAGACTGTTTTCAAAAAGAAAAAAAAAATTAATTAGACTGTTGATTTGATAACTATAAAGTTACAAATTTAACTTTCAATCAGAACAACCTAATGAATCTATTACAACCTAAGCTGATTGATTTGGTGGGGTTTTATATTACCTAGCTTACTTTGTGCACAGACAGCAAATTTTCCTGATAATTACAAATAAATAAATAAATAAATAAAACATGGGCCCCCACATCTTGAATTATTGCACCAAGTTGGAGAAAGCCATGGAATCTTTTGACTAGAAGTTTAAAAAAAAAAGCTGTGGTCATTGCCCACAGATTAGTAGCATTTCCCAATTCTGGTTCATATCATCTTCATCGATCTTCATCTTCCTTCTGCTAACCTTCACTCAAACAATTCAAACTCAGATAAACAAAACTCTCACCCTCTAATTTGCCCAATTCACAACATAATTTGCCCAATTCACAAGTCTAATACCGATTACAAGCAAGAATAGTATACAAGTAATACACCACTATAAAAGTGTTAAAATAATAATATGCATAATAATAATAATAATCAAAAAATAATAATAAGCATAAACAAAATTTAAACAAACATTACTGCGGTCATTTGGGATTATGGATTTCAGATTTACAAATTTGAAGATTTGGCCATTTGTGATCTGGAATTACGATCTGTGAACTTATTTTCCCTCTTTAAAAAAATACAGGCGGTTGAGCAAACAAGCCTCAGAGGCTCGCTCTTTAACGAGTAGGTAAAATCAAAATCTACCCCCTACTTATATAAGAGTGGGGTAGGCTAACTCCTCATATTGATAAAGTTAATTTTGACTGATTTACAAATATATTTTTGAGTACTATGAACTCTATTACACTATAATATTTGCTTTACAAATCTAAAAACATAATAAGCTTCAATCCAAGTTATGTTCCTGGTTTTATGTCTGTTTTTTCTGTTAACTTTTCTTGTACCTTATGCTTTAAATGTTGTACTACATAATTATTTGGACAAAAATATCCCTGCCGTTATAACTTCTGTTATCTTTCACATTATTATTACCATGCACATGCCACACAATATCTTTTTCTTACATTCTTCAATTGGTAAGGTTGATTTTATTTAGATTTAATTAAAGGTTCAAGTGTCAAATCGCACTATGAACCAATTGCGATATGTCATGCCGCACCCCGATCTTTCATAAGTGCTGATTCGATGCACAAACTAAAAAAATTTGTCCGCCTAGACTTTTTTACAGGTTGCTTTCAAGTAATAGGTCATAACTTGCTGATGTGGAAGTATTTAGTTGTTGACGTGTTATAATTTGTAGAGGTGGCAGTCAATTTCATCACTTCTCTCTAATAAACCCAAAAATGAAATCTGAAACCAAATCCTAAATCCAATTCGCTCAAGACATACTGACCACGCTTGGATCTGAAAAATCGAGAATAAAAATCATGTGAACTGTTGGATGCCTTGAAAGCTGCCGACGGAACACTGCATAGAAAACTTGCACAGCAACCATGCCGCCGGAAATACAGGAGTGGCCAGAAAACTCCATGATACTGTAATACAAAGCTAAGCAAAATCCAATCCAAAAATAATAAGTGTTTGCATGCATCTCTTAATCCAAGTCAACAGAGGTTTAGGCAGTGGAGAAAATGCAAATAAAAAGCATTTGTATATACTCTGCAAGGTTAGGAACCATTTTGCAGAAG